TATGGGAGACAATTGTTTCCCTCTGTCTCTGCACTGCCATTGCTCAGCCAGTAACAAGTGTGTACAAGACCACACAGATGTACATGGGCAGCCTTTCTCAGGAAAAAAAAAAGGAGGTATACCTCTGCTCTTAGTTTCCTCTAGGTAGATAGGGATTTTCATTTCACCCAGACTACAGATTTCTCCACTGTTAAGGATCTCATTTCAGTTGCTCAAAAGTATAAGACCACTTCACAACTCCAGACCACCATATTTTGCTGTAAATCATGTAGCTCCTCTCTGAGCCAGGCAATTTCAGCACAAACTAAAGTAGCAGTAAGTGCTATGTGGATCAGTAAAATTAGTAAAGGAGCATCTGTGAATCACAGAATCAGAGAATTGCAGGGGTTGGAAGGGACCTCAAGTGATCATTGAGTTCAACTCCTCTGCTAAAGCAGGTTCCCTAGAATAGGTCGCACAGGTGGGCGCCCAGATGGGTCCGTCTTGAATATCTCCATAGAAGGAAATTCTACAACCTCTCTGGACAACCTGTTCCAGTGCTCTGTCACCCTTACCACAAAAAAGTTTTTTCTGCATGCTTTTATGGAATATCGTATTCTCAAATCTTAAGCCAATGCTCCTTGTCCTCTCACTACACACCACCAAGAAAAGCCTGGCCTCTTTCATTTGCCTCCAACTTCCTTTAGATATTTATAAACATTAATTAGATCCCCCCTCTTTTTCCCAGGCTGAAACAGACCCAAGTCATTCAGCCTTTCTTCATACAGGAGATGCTCCAGGCGCTTTAACATTTTTGTGGCCCTCTGCTGGACCTCTAAGAGATCCCTATCTTTTTTGAACTGGGGACCTCAGAACTGGACACGGTATTCTAAATGTCAGGACAGAACAGGACAGAGTAGGGGGGAAGGATCACTTCCTTCAACCTGGTGGCCAAGCTCCTTTTAACGTACTCCAGGATACCATTGGCCTTTTTGGCCATGAGGACATACTGTTGTCCAACAGAACACACAGATTCTTCTCTGCAAAGCTCCTCTCCAGCAGGTCATCCCCTAACCCATACTCATTCACGCAGTTATCCCTTCCCAGGTGCAAGACTCTATACTTGCTCTTGTTAAACCTCATCAGGCTCCTCTCTGCCTAACTCTCCAGTCTGCCCAAGTCTTGTTAAATGGCAGCACACCTTTCCAGTGTGTCAGCCACTCCTCCCAGCTTTGTATCATCAGCAAACTTGCTGATGGTGGACTCTAACCCTTCACCCAAGTTGCTGATTAAGATGTTGAACAAGATTGGGCCCAGCACTGAACCCTGGGGACTACTTCTAGTTACAAGGCCTCCAGTCAGACTCCGTGATGCTGATGACAACCCTCTGAGCCCTACAAGTCAGCCAGTTCTCAATCCACCTCACTATTCATGTATCTATCTTGTATTTTCTAAGTTTCACAGCAATTCAAGTAGATTAAAGTGAAATCTTTACAACTTGAGAGTGGCTTCCAAGCAGAGTGAGTATTCTCCTTCCAAGCAACTGAAGCAGCCACAAGTCACAGATTTGTGGACACTGGGTAAGTTTGCTGGGAGGTTCTTCATGCAAGGAAGTTGACTATTCAAGAGATTTAATCGTGGCTTAACTGTGTGTCTTCCATAAGCTCTGCTGCTCTAGTCTGTATTTACAAATCTTAAATTTGGGACATAGAGAAGCCATTTCACCATTGCAAACAATTACAAGAAAAAAACAAAAAACGTTTGTTTTCTGTTGCAAACGCCAGGTATCATGTACAACACATTACAGAAATCCAACCCCACCTTGCACATGTTACTCTCACAGGGGATTGAGTAGAAAACCAAATGCACTGGACTATAGTCTAATACATGCTGTGTATTTTTCATTCTGGCAGTAGTCTTTGGAAATAACGGATTTTCTCATTTTCTTATTTTTCTATAGAATCACTAAGGTTGGAAAAGACATCCAAGATCATCCAATCCAACTGTTCACCTACCATCAACATTTCCCACTAAATCGCGTCCCTCAGTAAAACATCTAAATGTTTCTTGAACACTCCCAGCATTGGTGACTCTACCACTTCCCTGGACAGCCCATCCCTGCACCTGACCACCCTTTCAGAGAGTACATGTATTTCCTAATGTCTAACCTGAGCATACTGTATCAACCTCATACAGAATCCCAAAATACTGTTTTCTGGTAGGTTTTCCTAATTTCATAAGTAGATTTTTTAATTTAAACTACAGATTACTCATGCATGAAACAAATAGCATCAAATCTAAAACTCTGCCTTCTGTTAGAGATAACTATGTTTGATTCACTTTGTTGTTTTCTGAATATCTTTCCTATATTTTCCTGTTGCATGCTGGTCCTTCTTCAAGCTGTACAGCTGGGATCAGCACACTTGTTTGTCTTTCAATGAAACTCTACCTCGTATGTCTTCTATTTAATCAGAAGGCCCTTCATACTTGTTAAAATACTTGTGACAACTTTTCTTGAGAATATTAGTTTGAGAATTCTATCACTGCTTGTAATAAATTAACTTCGGAATGAAAACACTTGCGTAAAATTTTTAAAATGGTGATACAGTTCTTATTATGTCAGCATGGTTTGTATCCTCTACTTTCTTTTCAAGCCAATTTATTTGCGTGAAGTGCAGAAACAGCAATAACAACAATATGTTTTCCTCCTTGGAGAGATTTTAGTAGCAGTTGAAAGCACCACAGGCTATTTTAATGGAACTGATTCAAATACGAATGAAACCTCTACTTAGAGCAGGAGCACTTTTGTATCATATTGCCAAATCTATACTTTTTTAAAAATTCCTTAAAATAGGCAAAAGATATGGCCTGATTTTATTGAAATACTGTTTTCAATGAGTATGGGAGCAAGCCATCAACTCCTGCATGAGCAAAAGAAATTCTTCACAATATGTATTACCATAGAGAGGAGAAATATTGTACACCCTATGAATCAAATGCCTCTTTGTTGACTGGTGTCCCAGCAGCCATTGCAACAGCCATCTTAGAGAACATAATTATTTCTTCCTATGATGGGTTTAGAAATATCCTGTGCCTCATTTCCCTGCTGCGGAGATATAATCCCTGAAGCTGAAAGGGTCACCTCCAAATACTTGGTATCTGCACTGCATCAGTGGGTCAGCGTAACCTTTCTAGGCCCAGCACAGAATAAATTGATGACAGCTTAATCTTGTCACGTTTAGGAGCATCCCTTTTACCACACTGAGTGGTGGTTTGGTTTGTTTGTTTGTTATTTTTGGTAATGTCATACTGACCCAGAACATTCTGATTTTCTGTTTGTTACAGTATTTTGTAATTACAACACATTAGTATGGTCTTTGATCTAGCACTTACACCTTCGCCTTCCCACACTGCTCACTACTGACACTTTCCCCAGACTTTCATATTAGTACTTGAAACATATACACACGCATATAAAAATAACGGGAGAGAGACATGTAAAAACATACAAGAAAATATGGCATGGGTAGCTCATTTATTCCTCACATTCCCTATTTTGGATTAGAGGTGATATGTTAGCAATAGAGAGCATACAAGCACAACCTGGGGGTGCTGCACTGTTTTCCATAACAATATATACTTCTACATGAAGGAGAATAGCCTCATGGTTAGGGAGTTTCTGGCTTTACTGCAACCCATTTATCGTACAGCCAAGATAGCTAGATGATACATAAAAGGAAATGAAACGGCTTTCACTTCCATGGAACAGCAGAAGGGTTCCTGCACTGCAACATAAGAAGAAATTACACCTACTTGCTTTTACTCAGGGATTAGTAGGTAGAGATACTTCCAGGGAGAGTTCAGAAAGACCTCCAGTGCTGCTGAAGTCTGCCACTTGATATTTTTAAGCCTTCTTTTGACTTTTAAACAGAAAAGGCCAAAGGGAGATTACCCAATGTTTACAAAACAAGACCCAGAGATGCCATAGAATCACTTCAAGGTCACTGGGAGGGAACGAACAGCCTGACTTTTATGTCTAGATTGGTACTTTCTATTAGGGACTGATGTGTTCTAAGCTTCCTGTCTCTGTAATTTGAGGCTGTTAGGACCCACGTTATGTATTTTTTAAGGTGAGTTCACGTTAAAAGACCAACAGTTCCCTGGAAACATGAGTTTTGTCGCTGGCAAAGTTTTATCTTCCACAAAGGGCAGACAGTGCCCCTGCTCTTTGCAAGGACTGATATGCATTTGGAATCTGACGTAAACTTTCCCTTCCAGCCTGAGCTCATCAATAAAAGATGTGTGACTATGTCAGTGAAATGTTCACATCCTCTGAAGGCCACTGGCTACAATACCTAGTGCAAAAGTAGGGGTTGACAGTGGTTTTCTGTACTTTTTTTCCTCATGCCTGTGCATACCCATGCCATAATACTGTGTTCTTCGCAATGGTAAATAATTACTACTGTAAGACCTAACTCTACCATACTTATGTTCACAAGGAATAAAAAAGCAAAGTCTCAACCACAACCAGCCTTTTGGCTAATGCCTCGGAAGAGAAAGGCATCTAATTCATACTTTAACTATGAAAAAGAAAAGGCATTTCGAAAGCTTCCACTTGCTCAGAAATAAATGCTAGTTCTCCTTACAATTAACCACAGGTGTTTTTTTTTGTTTTGTTTGTTTGTTTGTTTGTTTGTTTTTTGTTTTTCCTAAGCAACAATGTTAGAAACAAGTTAAATCTATAGAAACGTATTTTGGCTATGAAACACTGCACAGAGCTTAGTCACTGCAATTAAAACCATGCTATTTACTTGTCACACTATTTACATTTCCAGTCAGAATAAAGAGGCAGGCAGGTGCTGCAGCAAGCATAAGGAATAAAGAGATGAAAAATCCGATGTGTGAAGGTAGCTAAAGTAAATTGGTTTCAGCCACTGTGCTGGTAGGACCCTCACAAGATGCTAAAGAAGCTGAAGGGACCTCTACTAGATGGTATTTATGTAGCCCAAATGTGAACATACCTTGTCAATGCCTGGGATTGCTCTGGGGTCACATTATGAAGTCTACTCCTACAGCTCTGCTCTGAGCCCTGTGGTGGCTCCAGGACAGCAAACGTGGTGGCTTTTCTACAAATAAATCAAAAGGAGAAAAGTGATTTGGCTTGGGAAGGCAACGGGGTGAAGCCTTCCTGGCATGACTTTGCTCTGTCTCACCCCCTACTGCATGGGGAAACACACTCCATGGCACTAGAGACAAGGCAGATTGGGATCACCATGACATGGGATGGTCATGCCAAGCAGAAATGTCCATTTTCAAAGCACTTTCAAATAAAAGAAGTGGTGAGAGGCCCACCTCACACTGGGGTAGTGTTGGTCCTGAACACTACTGACTACTGGTCAGTGTGAAGGAATGGTTTTGTTTTTCACATGGCATTCTGAGGCTGATCTTGCCCACTCTATGAGAAACTGCAGCACTAAAAAAAAGCAATAATATTTCCCCAGCCATGCTCTCCACCAATTCAGGGCACAGGAAGATGGCTTGGTCTGTGAAGAAATATAGCTGAAATTGTGGATGAAAGAATGAAATGCAATTATGACCACCATCCCATTCATCCCCACCTTTAGACAGTCCCTGACCCAAAACTGTATCTGTTGGCCCACAGAACAGTCTTCTTCAGACCGATGCAAGGTGTTGTCATCACAAGGGCAGCCACTGGTGCTCCTTGCTGTCCCACAGCAGCTCCCTCACCTGCTCCTTGTGGTGTGGGCTCAGATGATACCTGGCCTCATGAAGAAAACACAGCACTGAGAAGAGATATACATAGTTCATGTGATGTCTGGCAAAGCTGGATACTTAAGGCTGTGTTTAAAACCTTTAAAATTGGTGTGTAAAAGAAGACCCATCACCTAGTGTCAAAACACCTTTTGGGCACCAAAAATGAGGGGCTGTGAAGTGATAGATCTGCTTGTCAGATGCTCCATAACAGCCTGGGTATGCTAAGCTGGAGCAAGCAAGGATGGGACAATGCCTTCTTAACCCACTTCAGCAAAGATTTGTGGAAAGATGTGCATGCACGCAGCAGAAAAGGATAACCTTTATGTATGGGGGCTTTGGTGACCCTGATGTATGGTTGCCACAACTGTCGTCAGTGTGGCTCGTTTCTCTGAATTCCCAGGAATTCTGTGCTAAGTCTTGTCAAGAAAGATGTTCACTTTCACAAGTAATCTCAGCTCTGTGATGCTGTTACAATATCTTGTGAGGCTAGACTTTATCCAGCATAGCCAAGGTCAGCACTTGGAGCTCAATTCTCATTTTAGAAGTTTCTTACAGGTGGCAAAAAGTACCATCAGCCAAAAACAGTATCAAAATGAGCCCCTTCCTTCTAAGAACTCATGCAGGTGACAGGGACATAGCGTTACTTTTCCCAGCTTTCTGACAGTGAGATTTATTTGGAGTGAGGTCAGGTAGCCTTATGCAGATCCCGTTTTGGGAGCACTGGGAGCAGCGTCACCCTGCCCACTTTGGGAAGCAGCAAGGCCAGGAGATGATGTAGACGCAGCACGTTCCTCACTTCCCTGGGTTACAGGCGCCATCTCTTGGCAATTGCTGAAACTTGAGCTGTTTTACTTCAGACAGACAGCCCACCTTGTGATGTTACTGCCTCCTTCCACAGTGACGATATCCAAACAGTCAGAAAGAGCAAAACCATCTCAGTGGATGCTTGACACATGATTTTGATTTTCCTGCCTAACTGTTTAGAACATTAACTCCCACAGCCAAAGCTGGGACCTTTACCTCCTGTCTGTGAGCTGCCCCCTTTGGAACTGGGCATACCACAATGGAAAAATAAAGAAAGCAAGGTTTTGGTGCTCCCCAGGGCAAGGGTGTTTTTTAAAATATGTTTATTGTGGCTGCAGCAACGTATCAGTAAGGGGGCTGCAAGCTGGTCCAGACAACAGCAGCATTTTGCATTCTCCAGCTGGACCCCTCACCTTGTTTTTCACTGTCTCACACCTAGACCAGCATGCAGGAGCCCTGCTTGCAAGTACTTGCCAGCTCTGCGGTCACCTGCAAGAGGGGAGAAAGAACTGAAGTTTGGCAAACCCAGGGCAGGTATAGTCTCATGCACAATGTTGGGTGATGGGAGATGCCTTACCTGTGCAACACAATAGAGTGGCGGTGAGTTCGCTGGGCAGCATGTAGAGGCAAAATCAGCTCTCTGGTCTGTCAGCTGTGTCAGCAGCTCGGGGCTAGCATCTGGCCTGGTCTGCCTGATGCTGTCCCTCAGCCTGCAATTTGGGGCCAGACAGGAGAATGTGTGTGTGGGGTGAGCTTTTACAAGGACCCTGGTGCATTTAACCTCCAAACCATAGTGCACTGCCAAAATTTGATGACATGGTCTGCAGGGAAAACTTTCCTGATGCCATGGGAGAAGTTAAGCTCATACAAACAGATTTCAGGTGCAAAAGCGTGGCTAAATTAAGCATGCATTTCTGGGAGCACCACCAGAGGGTGAGGAGCCTTTACCTCTTCTTGAAGTCAAGGAAATTCAGCTCATTGTACTGTCCACAGAACTGGTTGGCCCTTTCGAGGAAGGCAGGCAGCTCTGCTCCCATTTGCTGTCGCTGTGTGGCATAAGAGAGGGGTATTTCTATAACCAGGACCATACATACATAGGTTTTGGGGGGATGCGGGAGCTGGAGAGGGAGGCGGTGGACAATGTCAAGGAAGTTTATGCTGTGTGAAATAACAGGCATTCCTCCCAGCTACCTTGCTGTCAAGGCAGGTTGAAGCATCCTTAGCAGAGCAGCACTCCCTGATGACATTTTCAGAGGCATCATACAGCTTACCAAGGAAGACGTCAGGGACACTGGTGTACCTCCGTGCCAACTCAAACAAGTACCTGCAGCATGACAGGAAAAACAAGTTAAAATTTAGCACTGGCTGATCCCATCAAAGCTGCCAGTTCTTGGATGCAGCAACAATGTACAGCCTGCACTTCCAAACCCTTCTCCTAATAGCATGTGGATTTCTTTAGGCTACTGACAAAAATTCAAGTAATAATTATATATAATTATATAATTACAATATGTATATATAATAAATATGTATGTGATAAAGAGAAGGAGTAAGGAAACTAGTTGCAGTGGGTACTGGAGTACAGACCTTCCGATGTGGAGGGCCCCATTATCATCACACAATTGCTTGTTGGTTGGCTTCTGCAGCTCAGGCAGTTTGGGGGCCACAGCTGGTTGCAAGGCAGAGATGCAGAAATAGTTTTGTATGATGTTTTTTCCTGCACAGCAGTCAGAAAACCTTTTGTCTTTGGCTGACAGTGTGGTGCAGATCTTTGTGGTGTGCTCCGACAACTGCAGAGGGAGGAGGAGAGGAAATACATAGCTTGGTTACTGCTCGGGGAGCCTCCCAGAACTAAGGTGGCTCAGGACAGTCCTACCTTCTGCTGAATGCAATTTTCAGCCACTGAGTCACAGCACTGGGAGAACACTTCAGCTGCATCCTCTGCCAGAGGGGAAAGGTCCTCAAATGAAGCACTTGGTATCTTTTGGGCAAGCATGGTCAGGTAGCTGGGCAGACACAAAGCATACAGGGAACTGAAAAATTTCAGACCATCTATTCCACAAACTTAAGTAAAGACCGTAAACCTGTCTAGTATTTTTGTATCTGTACTTTTGCCTTTCCCCACACACCGCGCATGCCACCCACGATTGTAGCAACCGAGCACTCTCATACAGACCAACCAGCCTTATTCCATTGGAGGTAACCTCCATCTTTCCTGGAATATATCTTAGTGAAAACCAGAAAGGAACTACTATCTAAAATAGGAAAGCACTTCCCATCTACCCTGAAGAGCAGAAAACACCTTATTCCCCTTTTTACCTGAACTTCATTTTGTCCTTCCCATATCCTGTTAAGCGGGAGCAAGCTCTGTTTGACATCAAAGTGAGTAGGGAAAGAGTTTTTCTTTGTAGTTTCTGCAAAAAGAATACGTAGCAGTAGAGTGGATGGTAGAGTGGAGATATCCGTCAGGAAAAATGAATAACTCTTCCCAGGCAAGATAAAGAATACTGTACTTGCCAAGTTGCTGCTTGGCTATACTGTGAGCAGCCCTGTAATTCAGGTCTTCTTTTACTATTAGCTACAAAAGGCAAAAACAATTCTTCTCATACTGAGTTTCAAAGCTAATCAGAGTTTCATGAAAATTGTCCCACCATCATCTGGGTGAACGTCCCACCAACTTCACGTGTATCTAGAAATTCAGCGTGGTGACCAGTAATTTAACTTGAAAATCCCCAGTAACTTAACTTGAAAATCCCTGAGAACAAAAGTAGAAGAAAACCTGGAAATAACCAGCAGCTTCGGGCTGCTTGGCTGAAGATGAGTGGGGCCAGGGCTAAGCCACCCTTGGCTATGGGCATTTGTGGGGTAAATGAACAGAAGGGAAAAGCAGGTTGTGGGGGGCAGACTCACCTCCTTCAAGAAGCAGACAGTGGGCGATGGTGATATGCAGCAAGTGGAGACCATGGAAAGGAAGTTCTTGGTGGAGCCCAAGAGCACAGGCAATGGCGCCTGGCCATAGCTACTGACGTACTCATGCAGGAACCTGTGTCAGAGGCAACCCTCAGACATTCCAGGACCATGTGCTCGGTTGCAGATGTGTTGTATGGGAATATCATAGCGATACTGGGGATGTCAGTCCTGCAGGTACCTTCCTGTGCTGCTGGCTTAATGTATCAATCCATCAACCCACCTGATACCCCCTCTCTAATCACTTGCACGGCCACCTCCATTTCTCATTCATTTTGCATAATCCTGTCCTTGGGGCCTGCACAAATCCAGAATACACCAACATTTTGCTTGGATGCACTTGCAGCCCCAGAAAGGGATTGGCCAAGGGCCAAGACAGTTGCTTCTGCTTTGGACAATGGTGCAGGGACAAGATGGGGAGAGATATGTGTAGTACTCTAAGCTACAGGGATTATCACCTCCTGGCCCCTATAGATAGCTACAGCAATTAATACGGTGTTTTTATGATCAAAGCACTTTTGTGAAGTGACATGGCTACTCCTGGCAGAGAGCCTGGTGGCCCTAAGTGACAGAGGTGCACACCTTCTTACTTCATCTCAGAAAGAAAAGGATAGGCTTTAAGATAAACATCAAGAATCCTTCCAGATTGCTTTCCAATTTCCAGCTGTTTTCCACTCTTTGGCCAGCTTGTGTGCTCCCTGGCTTGGCATCACAGCAAGACCATGCCCTTTTTCCAGCCCAGCTCAACCTGCTGGCCCTTACCTGTCAGCAAAATCCTTCAGATCCTTCTTGAACGCCTGGCAGATTTCCTCATTGGAAAGCTCAACATAGTGGGGCAGCTGGCGCGGTGGGTGCTCTAGGGCAGCCAGGCACAGCTTTTGCTCCAGGCCTTGGTGGAGACAGCAGGCGGCTGTCCCCGGATGGGCAGGGAAAGGCGAGTCAGGGCTGCAGGACTTGGCTGACAGGGCTGAAGACTGTGGGAAGGGAAGACGCTGCTTGCCAAGGGCTGGAGAACACTCCCCTGAATCAAATGCATCTACAATCTTAGGGACCAAGGTCTG